ATCTGTTCTGTCAATTTTGATTCAAAAAATTGAAACAAACCTCCAGGATGGTTTGGATGTTACATCCAACTGCAATCCACACATTCACTTCTCAGTTTAATCTCTCTCTTGCTTTAGCCATCCCTTTGCTATACAGATGCTTAAAGCCTGTGATGGCGTATAGTAGGAATATTATAAGTATTATTTTCTTTTCTCTCTTCATTTTACCTTTCCTTCCTCTACCGATTCCTCAGATTACAATAGATTTTCTAACCTGGTGGTAATTTTGTAATTCTTGCTTTGAGGTTTTGAGTTAATTGTATTTTCATGAATCCTGAGGATTGACTTAGACTTTTTCTCCCTCTTTTTATAGACCTCGCTAATGTCAAATTGACTTGAAAACATGATTTATTCACTTTATTTCAGAGTCCTCCTCAAGAGTAAGTGCAGATTATAAAGCAGTATGTTCAGGCCAGGCGCGGTGGCTCATGCCTGTAATCCCAGCACTTTCAGTGGCCGAGGTGGGCAGATCACCTGAGATTAGGAGTTCAAGAGCAGCCTGGCCAACATGGAGAAACCCTGTCTCTACTAAAAATACAGAAATTAGCTAGGTGCAGTGGTGTGCACCTGTAATCCCAGCTACTTGGGAGGCTGAGGCAGGAGAATCACTTGAACCTGGGAGTCGGAGGTTGCAGTGAGCCAAAATCGCACCACTGCACTCCAGCCTGGGTGACAGAGCGAGACTCTGTCTAAAAAAAAAGAAAAAGCCCAGTATGTTCAGTACGATCCCATTTTTACCTACACTGCCCCCTGCCCCAGCAAATCCACATGTGTAGAGAAACACTCAGGAGGATATGTTCCACACTCAAATCCATACCCTACATGGAACTCTTAGTGAACCTGTTTCTTCTTTTTGTTCATTTATAGCTTTCTAAGTTTTCCTACAATAAGCATCTATTGCTTGTGGAATTGAAAGTGAAAAAAAAAATGCTTGGAAAAGTTATTCTCAAGCTCCCTGTGAAATCAGTGCAAAATTCAGCACGCGCCCCCTGGTGTTGTTAATGGTAACGAGAGTTGTATTGGAAATGGCACTTATTTTTGGAAGACACGGGGACAACTGAATCACCCATAGTATTTTAGGGAAAAGAATGAAACAAGAAACCCCAAATGAACAGGTGAAGATTTACGAGGCAGATTTCTGTCTTGTACTGAACGTTTTTTGGGTCAAGATTATATGCATGTGCATGAGCTCAGATGGAACTGTCCTGAGCTGCGGAGGGGCTGAATTTAGCAGTGAGTTCAGGCTCAGGTCACTTAGAGTCATCCAGCAGAAAATGGCTGGTGTATCCTGGGACTTTGTATGCTTAAGAGCTGTCCGGTAAGCACACAGCGTTCCTAGAGCACACCGGGCTCGCCTGTCCCCGCAGTGGTTCAACCCACAGACAGGCTTGTGCTCAGTCAAAACATGTCAGTCATTGAAAGTATATCCTCACTGGTTGGTGTCCTTTTAGGAACCAAATTCAGCTTTCTTCAGGGAAATAATTGGTGCTGATTGGTATACCTCTTTCTTTTCATCTTGTGCACAGTAAGATGCTGCTATGAGGCGGTGTCTGTTCATGCCAGCCCTGCTGGTGAGAATGGTGGAGAGGGAAGGAGGTGGATGGGTGCAGCTGTTCAACCCTAAGTGCACAGCTTCATCCACAATGTGTTCAGCAGCAAGCTTGCATGATTTAGAAGAAAGATGACAGGCTTGGGAGATAGACACACGAGATTCTCCATCCGATTTCAATCATGCATTATGTACAATACCTTACATGTCTGGATAAGTTATTTAATCTCACAGAGCCTCAGCTCCCTCATCTCTAAAATGGGCACAAAGCAGACTTCCTCTTAGATTGCTTGTGAGCATAAAGATACAGAATGCCTGTGAGTAACAGCCTGGCGTACAGCAGGTGTTCGCTATTTCTTTCCCTCTGGTGAGTTTCCAGGTTTGTTGCTAACAATCGGCACAGGCCAAGCATTCACAAACGTTTCCTCTAAAGGAACAGATAGTAAATACTCTAGGTTTTGTGGGCTGGGAGGCAAAATTAAGGACGTTACATTCTCACATAATAAAGAGTAAACACATTTCCACCAATTATGATTGATTTAGGAATATAATAATAAAAATAGAGCACTTTTTTTTTTCTAACATAGATCTACTAATGAAAAGAAAGGAACCCTTTTCTGGGCAGATAGCATTTTACTTAACTGAGGTTCAAAGTTAAGAGTTCCCTCTCATCAAGGGGAACTTGCCAGTGTTCATCTGTACAAACCATTCTTAATTTGCAGACCATGCAAGAGCAGGCTGTGAGCTGAATTTTGTCCACAGGACACAGTTTGGAAATCTCTGCTATGGACTGCTTATTAATAACACCAGTCTCTGCTTGTATTCTAACTGTAATCACTAATGGTGAATAAATAATCTGAACTCATAATTGATGAATGAACTGTTAGAGAGCTACCATCTGCAGAGGGGGATGAAATAATTAAATAAGCAGGCACTTGGAAGCTGACAGAATGCTTAGTCTTAATCTTATTTGATCAAATAATTTCTTTTTTTTTTGAGACAGGGCCTCTCTCTGTTGCCCAGGCTGGAGTGCAATGGCATGATCTGGACTCACTGCACCCTCCGCCTCCTGGGTTCAAGCGATTCTCCTGCCTCAGCCTCCTGAGTAGCTGGGATTACAGGCACGCGCCACCATGCCCAGCTAATTTTTGTATTTTTAGTAGAGACCAGGTTCACCATATTGGTCAGGCTGGTCTCGAACTCCCCACCTCAGGTGATCTGCCTGCCTCAGCCTCCCAAAGTGCTGGGATTACAGGGGTGAGCCACCGTGCACGGCCGTGGTCAGATAATTCTTCAGAGAATATATTTCTTTGTGGCTAAAATCTGGAAAACAGCAGAAGAAATGATCGGGCCATGCAAACCAACCCTCTAGGATGAGAGACCAAGCAGTGAATGATTATGAAAAGTTACTCAAACAGGTTCTTTATGCGTTGAATCAAGTAAGAAAAGGACTTGCTTGTCTTCAGTGATGATGCAGCTAAAGGAGGGATGAAGATCTGGCATGTATGTATCAGAGGGTCCCTTCCTTCCACCCTTCCACCCACCTGGATGGACAGGTCAGATTTATCTAACTATATGACCCTTAAACACTCAGATGGAAACAAGACCAAAAGAGTATTGTGGGGTATATTCCTCACCCAAAGGGTTACATTTTAGCAGAATGCTAATATAGAGTGGGAATTACCCTATGGCATAGAAGGCACCAGAGTGGGTGTTAAGGGGAAGCAATGTGACAAGACATCTTTGATAACTGAGTTGGCAAGAGAGGAATGTTCATATTTCTGAATATTTAAGAGATAGATATGGAAAAGGGTCAAAATACATAGAGCAAGGAGGGACTAAGGTATGTGAGAAAAGATCCAAGCAGGCAAGCTGGCTCTTTCCCATTCATGTGGCAGAAAGCGGGGCCCTATGGCCACCCATCATTTGAAATTCACTGAAAGCCTGTGGACGTTTGCAGAAGCTGCCGAGCCAATGGTGCCGAAGCTGCTTAGGGCAAAGGTTTTAAAGTTTAAGAGTGTTGAACTGGGAAAGTTCTTACAACTCCTTGTAACTAACCCCTCCTTGGAAAAATAGCTGTTTTGAGGCAGAAATATTTTAAAATGCATTGTTTTAGCTGAAGGGCAATTTTTAGCCAAAGAACATTTAGCACAGGAGCTTTGGTGGTGGGTGTTGCGGGAAGTCAGGGACCCCGAACGGAGGGACCGGCTGAAGTCGTGGCAGAAGAACATACATTGTGAAGATTTCATGGACATTTATTAGTTCCCCAAATTAATGCTTTTATAATTTCTTACGCCTGTCTTTACTGCAATCTCTGAACATAAATTGTGAAGATTTCATGGACACTTATCACTTCCCCAATCAATGCCCTTGTGATTTCCTATGCCTGTCTTTACTATCTCTTAATCCCATCATCTTCATAAGCGGAGGAGGATGTATGTCGCCTCAGGACCCTGTGATGATTGTGTTAACTGCACAAATTGGGTGTAGAGCATGTGTCCTTGAACAATATGAAATCTGGGCGCCTTGAATACAGAACAGGATAACAGCAATGTTCAGGGAACAAGGGAGATAACCTTAAACTCTGACTGCCAGTGAGCCGGGTGGAACAGAGCCATATTTCTCTTCTTTCAAAAGCAAATAGGAGAAATATTGCTGAATTCTTTTTCTCAGCCAAGAACATCCCTGAGAAAGAGAATGGCCCGGAGGGTAGGCCTCTGAAATGGCCGCTTTGGGGGTGGCTGTCTTTTACGGTCGAAGATGAAGGGATGAAATAAGCCCCAGTCTCCTGTAGTGCTCCCAGGCTTATTAGGATGAGGAAATTCCCGCCTAATAAATTTTGGTCAGACAGGTTGTCTGCTCTCAAACTCTGTCTCCTGATAAGATGTTATCAACGACAATGCCTGAAACTTCATTAGCAATTTTAATTTCGTCCCGTCCTGTGGTCCTGTGATCTCGCCCTGCCTCCATTTGCTTTGTGATATTTTATTACCTTGTGAAGCATGTGATCTCTGTGACCTATACCCTATTCATACACTCCCTCCCCTTTTGAAAATCGCTAATAAAAACTTGCTGGTTTTATGGCTCAGGGGCATCACGAACCTGCCGACATCTGATGTCTCCCTCCAGACACCCAGCTTTAAAATTTCTCTCTTTTGTACTCTTTCTCTTTATTTCTCAGACCAGCCGATGCTTAGGGAAATAGAAAAGAACCCATGTTGAACATCGGGGTTGGGATTTCCCCCAATAGGTGGGTTTAAAAATATTTCTTCTCTGAGCTGATGCTGACACATCTTTTCTCCATTTTTGTGTTAAAAGAACACACAACAAAATGCATTTTCTCTTTAGTTTAACAAGTTGGAATAAAATACACGATTTATATAAAGATAAATGTCAAGAAGAAAAACCGAAGTATACTTCCAAGCAAAATTTATTAGATGTCTATTCAAGAAAAACACAATGACCTTTGCTTGTAAGAATTCAAAGTCAATTACCTGGAAGCCAGGTATGAATATTTTTTTTCTTTTAAAATCAGATACAGAGAGTAGAAACAGTAATTTTTCTTAAATATGACAGGCAACAGATATTGAAGTCTTTTCTCATAAATGGCATCAAAGAGAATTATTCATTTATCAGCAAAGCTGCATGCAGTTGACTTAATTTCAAACCTGAAGCCTTTAAAATATGAAGCTGGTTGTGAACTTGACAGAAATCAAGGTAGCCTACTCAAAGATGTTGCTTTACCTTCTTCCTAATGAAATTCCCTTGTCATCAGTCAGTAGATATGTACATTTCAGTTTGGCTTCTACGATCTTTTAACTTCATAGATTTTTGCATAAATGCTATCTGACAGAATCACATTATCTAGGGGTGCCTGTGATCTGTGAGATAGGGAGAGGCTAGTCTGCTGAAAGTGTTGTTGTCGCAGGATAAAGACCAAATTAGGAAACTCCCCTGTTAACAACTAAACTAAATATTCTGTACAAAAAAAGAGCAAACATATGTACAAAATTCTAAAGACTACGTACATTGTGAAAAGATCAATCACTGTCCACGAAAGAAATGCCATAAAAAGTTTTATCTATAAGGTGCTCAAGATCCAAAGATTAATAGTTCTTATGCAAAGTCATAAGAAATACAAAGCTAGTTCTTGGAGTATGTGTAATTCAGGCACTGTGAACTATATTAAACCTTCCAGGTCCCAATATCATTTTGTAAATTTCTGCTTCAGGGCAGAAAATAAAACCTGAATGATTTAACATTGTTTCTAAAAAGTGCCTAATTTATTCCTAGGAAATATTTTACACACACCAGGAAAATCAGGCTCAACATATTCCTGTCCTCAAATGTAGCCAGGATTCTGAGTTCCATAGAAGAAAAATAATTATTATAGTAAAAATAATTGTATTAATCATAATCCTTGCTAAAACCAACTTTAATACTTGTGATGCTTCTGTACTCTATTTCTATAAAATAATGTGTGAGATTCTATTACATTTCCATAAAATGTACAACATCGCATATGGATTATATGTTCTCATACAATCTCAAATGTGTATGTGTACACACAGTGAAATCTTACCTACTAGTATTGCTTACAGATACTTTCAAGTGTCTATGTTAGAATAATTCTTTGCACCTCTCACTAACACTGCTTTTACTTACATTTTTTTCAGATAAATAAAACACTAAGAGCTCATTGTTCATGATGCTGATCATTACATTTTAATATAAAATAGCGATGCAACTTTACAACACAATAGTTTTTCCCTGTAGTCTAGCTCAGCCTCTTGTACTGTCATGATTATTACTGAAGGCTCTTATTCATTTACTGTTTGCACTTCTAAAAAGTGCAAAAAATTTGCAGAAAAAAACTCCTATTTGAAAACTTACATTCAATCAACAAAATCACACTCATCCAAATTAACTTTCCTCCTCTTGCTTTAAAGGTGGTAATCACTGTGCATATTACAACATGTATGTGCAGGCAAACACTAGCTAAAGTACAGTTACAGTTGTCATATTGTGTAAACCAAGACACTAGGCAAACTTGTGAAAAGAATATACACTGCCAAGCTAAGAATGTGAAAACGCAAACCACAGCATTTCCCAATAAACAATTTTCTGGTCGTTGAAATAGCCTGGGGGGAGGTGTTGAAATAGCCCCCTGGAGAGACTTTTTTTTTTTGCCTCAAATATTTGACCATTTTTAAGTATCATGATTTTCTTTCTGATCCCACATTTTGACGTGTCAAAGCTTAGAGCAGGAATTAGGAAGCCACACTTTCACGGAGGGGGCCAGCCTGCCATGTCGCCCCCAGGCTCACAGCAGCGGCGGTTACTCTGCTGGTGGTTTGGTGGCAGGTGGAGATGGTGACGGTGCATTGGAAACCGTAAGGCATGACGACGGGAGGCCTGCAGGGTGTTTCAGGCGTTGACACAGGTGCATGGCTGGCAGGTGGCCTACAGAAGGAGGGAGAGCGATTCACAGCCTCTTCACGTAGTTTCCGGGGAAAGTACCAAAGAATTTGGTTCTTCTTGAGGTCCCTGAAAACAGAAGCGAGTAATGAAAGGGGGGTAACAACAATATGAGTTCATACACATGGGCTTGAATACTTCGCATTTACAAGGCCTCGCGAAGACAGCAAGCCCCAAGGGGTTTGGAAAAGAAGGTAGGCAACTCATGTGAAGCCCATAGGCAGACAAAATTAGCAGTTTTAGTTGGTTGCCTGACGCTGTCACTGCCCCTCCAGCATAAATGATGCGCTGCGATCATGGCACCCTAGGCAGAAATGCTGAGCCTCCCAATCTGAAGGGAAAGAGCCTTGCTAAGGAGGTGGGCGGAGGAGCTCAGTCACCAAGGCTGCCACACCAGAGCGGGGAGCGACGGATCAAGGCGAGGCTGACAGGTGACAGGGTGAGTGGAAAATCCTAAGAGCAAAGCTTCTCAGTGACCAGCAGCCCACACAGCACAGGTGCGACATGAAGGCATCATCTACTGCAGGCTGTCACTGTCCAGTTTTATCATCTCATAGAAGATCATGCTCAGTGCCACATCCTTTATTTAAAAACAGCACTGCAAGACTCCATCAAGTATACAATTTTTCAACAATTTACAAATCATTAAAGGAAAAAAAGGATTAAGCACTGTTTGTGTGTGGGAGTTCCATCACCAGCATGATTTCTAACATGGTGTGTTTAACTACACTCACAAATGGCTATCATCATTATGGTCACCTCTGGTTTCTGGTTTGGAAACTTCTTGCATAAATTGGTGTGCTAAATTCTTCTTTAGGCAGCGCAGATGGAGCGGATAAGGGTCTCTAAAGCTTCATCTCTCTCCTATATCCTGGTGCATACTGCCTTGGTTTGAGGACTGTTTTTCTTTTTCCTTGTCTAGGCAAGCCATTTTACATTTCTACTACCTCCTCCTCCTCCTCCTCCTCCTCCTCCTCCTCCTCCTCCTCCTCCTCCTTCTCCTCTTCCTCCTCCTCCTTCTCCTTCCCCTCCTCCTCCCCCCACTTTCTTCCTCCTCCTCCTCCTCTTACTCCTCTTCCTCCTCCTCCCTCCTCCTCCCCCTCCTCCTCCTACTCCTCCCTCCCCCCTCTCCTCTTCTTCCTCCTTCTCTTCTTCCTCCTCCTCCTTCTCCTTCCCCTCCCCATCCTCCTCCTCCCCCTTCCTCCTCCTCTTTCTTCCTCCTCCTCTTCCTCCTCCTTTTCCTTTTCCTCCTCCTCCCCCTTCTTCTTTTTTTTTGAGATGGAGTTTTGCTCTTGTCGCCCAGGCTGGAGTGCAATGGCATGATCTTGGCTCACTGCAACCTCCCCCTCCCGGGTTCAAGTGATTCTCCTGCCTCAGCCTCCTGAGTGGCTGAGATTACAGGCGCCACCACCACGCCTGGCTAATTTTTGTGTTTTTGGTAGAGACGGGGTTTCGCCATGTTGGCCAGGCTGGCCTCGAACTCATGGCCTCAGGTAATCCACCTGTCTCGGCCTCCCAAAGTGCTGGAATTACAGGCATGAGCCACTGTGCCCGGCCAATGACTATTTTCTAGGTTTTTCTCATGGTCTTTTAATGGAAATAAAATAAGAGGCTTGTGGCTGCACCATGGCCTCAATTCTTTCATGATTTTGCCACGGATGGATGTCTAGAGTGAGCCCTCCTCTCCTCTCACCTTTCCTCTCTTGCATTCTCTGCCCCGCCACCTGTGTTTCCTTTTCACCTCTCTCTGTGTCCCAGTGTAAAATACTTTTGTCGACAAATGTTTTCTCAGAAGACCTCTCATCTTTTTTTTTTTTTTAGGATGGGAAAAAGGAAGTTGCCTTTTACGTAGGAAGAATGGAACTTCTCTCCACTTCCATCACAAACCAGAGCTAAGGTGAGTCACTGAATGTTCGGGCATCTACGTTAGACCTAGGAAATGGGGGAGTTGTTCACTTAATCTCACTCCCTCTGAAATTAGATTAACACTGTGGACAACTAACATTTTCCACAGCACGGAGCATTGATATTTCTCTTCCGGGGACTATTTGTTGTTGTTGTTCTCAGATCTCAATCTTTCCTGGTTTCTGCTATTTAAAGAAATTTTCTTCTCTCAATTGACTTGGAAATAAAGCTCGCAGAAAATCACACGTAGCTGAAGTAGTGACTACTAAACTATATTAAAAATGTAATAGCCTTGGGATTACATTGTGCATATGAATGTCTGAAAGATCAAAGGCATTACGAATTCGAAGCAAGCTTGGCTATCACAGCAAACCATGCAAGTGAGCAAAGGCAAGCAAATTACAAAATACCACAGGTGCCTGAAGAAGGAGCGCACGTACCCACAAACCAGCCGTCATCGCACTTCTCCATCACATCGATGACATCACTTTCTCTGAGCTCCAGCTCGTCTTCGTTCCTAGGAGTATAGTTATACAGAGCCTGAAACCTTAAACAGGACAAGGGAAGGTGTTTAAAAACATGTGGACACCTTCATGATATATAGAAGATAGACAATATTCATTCTTCCTTTAACATTCCTATTCTTAACATTCTATTGGGTGGTACAAGCCTGGTAAACACGTAAATAGCATTTTGTTGGGTGGTACAAGCCTGGTAAGAGTGTAAATAGCATTCTATTGGGTGGTGCAAGCCTGGTAAGCATGTAAATAACATTTTATTGGGTGGTACAAGCCTGGTAAACATGTAAATAGCATTCTGTTGAATAGTACAAGCCTGGTAAGCATGAAAATAGCAATATTTAGATCTTCACAGGCATTAGAACACTCTAACAACATTTTGAAACTCATGAGGAATATCCATGAAAATTGTAACATTCATAAATTGGGTTAAAATATGTTAACATTTGTAAGTCAGACCCGCATTTGAATGGTCCAGCCATCTAAAGTCTATCATTCAGACATTATAGTACAAAATATAAAATAAGAGATATTTGTATTATTTAACTGTTTAAAAACAAGAAGGAATCACAATTTTAGCTAGCCATAATCAGAAGCAAATAATGGGGGCTTGAGAATTGAATTTTCAAAGGTTCTAAATGGAGATAGACAAAATGTCTCAGACTTGTCTTTTAAATCACTCTATTTGAATTACTATACAAAGGAAAATTATTATTTTTTTCCAGGAGGAATTCTTTAGATCAGTTTAATGTTATAGTTTAGATCAGTATTTTCTGAGAGTTGGAAAATTTGATGTAATTAGCCTATGAAGTTGAGTAGATGTATTCTATGAGCAGTTATTACTGAGTCAATTTCAAGCAGATTATAGACATAAGTCTCTTTTTAAAATGAGTCCCAGAAAAATTGTATTTGATTTTCAAACTCTCTCTTGAAATAATTTTATATAAAAAAGAATTATTTATAGAATGCTACCACTTTCCTTTCCCTGACTGAATTCTTTGACAGCATATACTGTGGAGAAATTGATCAATAATGAATTCAGACACTGAATTTGTGGTAAGAAAACACCATGCATTATAATGAATAGTAACATGGACTGGTGTTTTTGGAAAATGAAGGCAGAAATTACTGTAGCTGAGAAGGTCATGAAGAATTTGATAGGCAGTTAGCACGAAAACTTCTTCATAATAGTACTAAAATATTACCAGTACTGTGAGCGAGACTTTTAAAAATCAGGAATTTGTTTCTGTTGCTTTTTGTAACAGTGATGTCATTCTGCTAATGTGAGAAAATAATAACCACATTCTAGGGCATTTTAGATTTTTTCATGCCAACTTTAAAAAGTTGATAATCTTGACGACTGCTCCGGAACAAGAATGATTTATTTTTAATTACTTTATGAGTCAGAAAATAATATTTTGGTAGAACAAAACTATTCTATCATTTAAACGCAAACCTTATGTCATTAATAAGCAACAGTGACCCACTGGCTTCCCCCCAGTTCATCCACCATTTGGATTGGGGGAGCTGGATAGAGTTGATTTCAGGGGGTGCCCAGCACCATCCCCTAGAAAATACTGTTTTCCCTGGCCTGGCACCAAAGCCTGAAATGTCAACATTAGAGGCTTCGTCCACTGTTAAAACTTCATCCTTCCAGTAGACCTTATAGCCACTCACATTCTTTTGAGTATGGGCTTCTGAGGCCTTTTCTTGAGAGAGGGGTTTGTGATTATGGGGAAGGGCAGAGAAAGGCAGCTAGCATCCCAGGGCAGTGGCCAAAAAGACAAGCAGGTGTGTAATACACAAACGTCACCTGACTGGGATGTTTGCATGTGGCCAGCTTGAGTAGGGGTAGTCCATTTATTCTGTTGTTTGTGTTAAGAATTTGATTTGGAGGCTGCTCAGGTGAACGGGTGGTTTCTTTTGTGTATCTGTGTGGAAAGTTCACAGTCCCTTTTCTAATTTCACATTTGAGAGAGGGTGGTCGTTCCTGGGCTGCTGTGTTGGTGGATATACACAACACTTCTCACTTTGGGGAAACTGATTCTTTTATTGAGCTTCTCAGGCTTGAATCCTGCCCAGGCTCATCTCCAACCACTTATGGAGACCGGTGACCTAAGGCTGCAAACCGCAGCTGCCGGAAAGAATCTCAAGGTCTCAGAGCTAACGCAACAAAATTGGCACGGACTCCTGCTTCATTTGTGTTCGATGAAAGCCAGTGTGTTTGTCCACGTTTATTTACCATTCTGGTTTAATTAGTCCACAAAAACAAAAACAAAGCAAAAGAAAAGCCACGGAGTTTTATGGAAACACAAACACACCTTCAGGAAATCCTCCTGCCTCTACTGGCTTTCAGAGTCAGTGCCGCACAACAGGAAATGAAGTTGAATCCAATGTGAACAAATGCTGTTCTGAAAGATGTGTTGGTGAGGTGAATGACGGTGGTGGGGTAAGGATGCCTCAAAAAGAAAGGTGTCTTTTAAACCGGAAATGCTGAGCCAGACTGGAAGCCCTCTCTAACTTGCAACGTTTTCTAGAACATATTTCACTGAAGCTCTGAATTGTAGTGACTTAACATTATGTTCCTACTGTTGCTCAAAACTTATTTTTAAATGACAGCAACTAAGCAACACCCTAAAATCCCACTAATTCAGGCTATAATCAAATATCAATTTAATAAACAATGTTTTCTAACGTACAAATCAGGACTTTGAAAATGTAACGTATCTTTCATTCACAGACACTTTAAAAGCGGTTTAATATAACATGTTGGTAATGCAATAAACCTACACAGCGCTGGAATTTATTTTTTATAATGTGATCTTATCATCATTTGGGTAAATAAGAGAACAAACAAAGCTTTAGAATTACAAGTCGTATTTAGTGTTTTCTAATTAAGCGATCTTTTTGTTTGTTTGTTTGAGACATGGTCTTGCTCTGTTGCCCAGGCTGGAGTGCAGGGCCATAATCATGGGTCATTGTAGCCTTAACCTCCCTGGCTCAAGTGATCTTCCCACCTCAGCCTACTGAGCAGCTGGGAGTACAGGCGCAGGCCATCACGCCTGACTAACTTTTTATTTTTATTTTTGTAGAGACGGTGTTTTGCTATGTTGTCCAGGCTGGTCTTGAACTCCTGGGCTTTGGCCTTCCAAAGCGCTGGGATCATAGGCATAGTGACTGCACCTAACCTTAAGTGAGATTTTAAATGATTATCACTGCTAACCTGTTCTTTCCAAAATACAGACTTTCCCTCAATAAGAACACCTTTCTGGCTGCACTCTGTGAGAGCCAGTCTCATCCGGAGATGCTTCGTGCTAAGTTTCAGGTCTGTGAGGAGCAAGGAAGGACTTGATGGTGATAAAGGAACCAGACCACATGCCAGGATCTGCCTCAGCGAGGAGGCTGTTGGTAGCCTGTTCTGCTCCAGAGTGTGGGCAGTGGGTCAGGATCCCCAGTGTGTGCTCAGATACGGGGGACAAGGGTTAGGTCCATGAGTGAGCCTTCCCAGGGATGTCACTCTTGGCTCACAGTACACGGGCAGAGGCCAACAGGAAGTTGTTAACTCCTGAATGTCTCTCAGGGACAAAATGGGCCCGAAAAAGAAACACACAGAGAGAATCTTCAAGACAACGTGTGACACCTTCAGGCTGATTTAACTCATGTATCAGAAAGGAGAAGGAATTTGAAAGGAAAGTTTGAAAAGGCGTTTTCCTGGTGCCGTGGAAGTAGTAGCATGTAACTGAGTAAGAGTGAGTGTTTTACTACTGCCATTTTCAAATGACCCTTCTAAGCATGTCACTTTGGAATGACGGAATGATCACTTTAGGTCTTTTTTACACTTAAGTCCACTTTTACAGTCGCCCAGGGGGTGTAGATGTAAGGTTAGAACATGTTCTGTATGTCTTTGAAGCTCCTAGTTACTTGTTACACAGCCAGCAGAGCAGAGACGGAGACAAGAGTTGTCCATCTCAGGAATCACTGAAGCATTGGAAACTTTTCCTAGCGCATCAGTTAAAATCTCAGAGAACTATGGGTTCTTTTAATAATAGTTTCTGATCACTGTCATAAACGATGGAGAGACGATTATAATTTCTTGTAATTTAGGAGGCCTCATGTTAGTTACTTTGATCTTTCACTTGCAAAGCCATACATCTTACATTTTGGTACAGTTGTCCATTTTGTGGGTCAAGGTTAGTCTCGAATTTAGAAGATAAGAAGAATACTTACGGTTCCCCCCCACCTTGAATATTTTCATGAGTAAACACAGGACGCTGTGGCTGAAATGAAATGATTTTCAATGTAATCAATGTTTAAACTGGTACTAATTAAAAGATAATTTGGATAATGGCATGGTACTTTTCTTGACATTTAATATTTCCTGTTGTAAAAAACCAAGAGGAAGAAAAAAAAAACCAAATAAAGGGTTTCTGCAGGATTAATAATTAAAATATTTAAAGGGAGCTTCAAATTAAAGCAAAATAACCAAGGTCAAATGTTTTGAACATGTCTACAATCTAGTCTGCTCAAGCTTTAAGGAAAAGCCAGGGTTTGGTCCCATTGATTTTTCAAAGGCCAGGAATAAGGTAAGAACATAGACAGCAAACCACTAGAATAGGAAATATAGACACCTTCATACAACCTTATTCTCCAGCGTTTTCTCAAACAAGCAGAAAATAAACCACATTTAGTTTCACAGCAAAGTATCCACATTCATTCTGTCAACCTCTCCTTCACAGACAACATTTTCACATACAGCACAGAGGAAAATATCAATAGGCAGACATCCCATGCTACATCTGAATTAACATTCTCTGTTCTCAATGTGGAGAAAACACATGCATTTTTAAAAAGAGAAAACAGAACTTTGGAATGCAACGAACAATATCCGGGTAACATGTAACATTTTACCTTAGAAGAGAAACATTGGTAGAAATTTCCAGTGCACTGAACTCTCGAAAGAGTTTCTTTTCTTTTTAAACTAAGCATCAAGACCAGTATCTGTAATAGATACTTATAATATTGGAAATGACAAGCCTTAGCATCCCATATACCCACATTAATATTTTCAATGAATGAAAGTTAACACGTTTGTTGAATATATAAACTCAGTGTAATTTATATTGACTACCTAAACTTTACCTTTTAGGGGAGAAATGCATACAAATCACTCATAATACATTTCAAAAACACTCGCTTCTAAATGATAGCTACAGGGTAAAATCAGAATTTGCATGGCACTTATATAAGTGACTGTTTGATGACTACTGAATTAGCTATTAGATCCACGTCCTTAGACATTGGGCCAGCTCTTAGATTTCCATAGTTATGAGTGGATTACTGATAGGCTGAAATCTCTTCCTGCAAATTGTCTGTAGAAATCCCACTGGTCCAAGCTCGGATGGATAACTCTGAGGTTCCTCTCAGTCTATGAGTCAATGATTCACCCACTTCCTAAATTCTTTATCCACCCCCTTTCTATCCTACTTGTCTATCTAGCATAAGACTAGGTACTCACAGTACTAAAACTGTAAGCTTTGATTCTGTTAATTGGAAACCTTTATTAACAGTGTTCTTAGAAATTTCACTCAACAGTCTGTGGATAGAATATTTAAAACTAGAACGTGTAAGAATTACTAGACACAAGTATGACTTAAGAGTGTGAAATAGTTTACTCCTGTAAATCAATATAAGACTACTAATGATGTATCTATTATTAAAATTGGAAGATATTCATATTTTAAGAAAAATTATGACTAACCAATTTTCCAGCCATCTTAAGATCATTTAATTCAAGATATTATTAAATCAATTTAAATATATAAGATGGTAATTGTAAGTCATTGATAAGCTTGTATCATATTACCTATTTCAAGTTCTCTTCCAATCTAATAAAACTTTATATATGTATAAAACTGTTATGCAGAAGTAAGATTTGTATACATCAATTGCCACTAATAGTATTTTGTAATAATTTCCCAGTCTTTTTTTTTTCTCAGTCTTCTTTCTCATTTTAAATGCCTGCAGAATAATGGTCTCCCACATGTGTCTACATATCATAGTTTTCTTAACCATTCATCTCTTTTTTTTGTTTGTTTTGAAGTTAGAATTGGTCTAGTCTTTTTTCTCACTATCATAAGTAGCAATGCTATACACATTTTCTTATGCAAAGAGCTATTTTCTGCTTTTGAACCATTTTTTAGAATATATTCCCAGGAGTAAAATTTCTGGCCAAAGAGTATGCATTAAAGCCACATGATTTTGAGAATGTACATGTTAGTCACTGAAAAATACTGTTCTCAAAAGTAACTTGAAAACGTCTAATATGCCACACTGCATATCACATACCAAGATCGCTACGACTCTTTCCTCGAAACGATCAGCACCATCTGCAGTGCGTAAAAAAGTTATGAATAAGGAAATATTGTTTATCCTTGTCTTAAGAGAAAATGTTGTGTAAAGTATATTTCATTATGCTCTAAAATTGGTATCCCTGTTTTCACACATTCAAACCATTTTAATATTTTAAAATTGAGTAAAAGTTTAAACTTCTACATCACGATATCCAATGCTTTGTAAAACTGGTTAGTTTCATTTCATTGCTCTTTTGTTAAAATGTGAATACTACTTTAAAAATCATATTGTTCATTAATATAAAACAATAAACTTTTAAAGTCTGTACATCCCTTTTTAGTTATCATCATTATAATTCTACTAGTTTAATTCCTTTAACTCAACCCACCTCATCAATCATTTAAACGAACTGTCCCCTTGACCATTATGAAAATTTGGTGATTGCTGCAAACGTGCAGCTTCCTGGATCCCACGTCCATGGCCGGAGAACGTATGTTCGTATGTGGCAGCCAGCACTGTCCTTGCTTTTTTTTTTTTTTTTTGAGATGGAGTCTCGCTCTGTCAGCAGGCTAGAGTTCAGTGGCGTGATTTTGGCTCACTGCAACCTCTGCCTCCAGGGTTCAAGCGATTCTCCCGCCTCAACCTCCTGAATAGCTGGGACTATTTTTATATGCACCACCATGCCTGGCTAATTTTTGTATTTTTTAGTAGAGACAGGGTTTCACCATGTTAGCCAGGATGGTCTCGATCTCCTGACCTTGTGATCCGCCCGTCTCGGCCTCCCAAAATGCTGGGATTACAGCGTGAGCCATCGCGCCTGGCCCCCGTCCTTGCTTTTACCTGTTTCCCAATATCTCTTTTCCCTTCCTTCATATCTTTCAAACCCTGCGCCTCGTTTTAGCCACAAATCATCAGTTTTCTATACTGTTCATATCCTGAGGCCAGACTCAATCAAGACTTCTCTTAGCAGAGAAGTTGTGTGTGTCTCACAACGGCGAGTTTTAGAACTTTTCAAAGCTTGCCTTTAACAAGAATCACCTCCATGTTAATGTGGATAACCAGGAGACAGTTCTGAGGAAAGCTGACCAATGACAGTACTTGAAATAGTTTATTTTTAAAGCATGTGACTAGTAGGGAATGAGTAGCACGAACAGTCATCTATGTCAGCTCATCTGCGTCCTTCTGTTTTGGGCGTTAACCACCATGTAACCTTGGGGATGCCTCAACTCCCCTATCTCTGAAATCAATGAGTTGGACAAGATGATGGTTAATCGGGTCCCCTCAGGGATTCCATGAAGGACACACATTTCCACAGATATATTTCCTCTGCTGTGTAAAGGTGTCCATCATCAGCTTTATACAGAGAGCTGGGACACTGACACTGACTGGTTAATGCTCATGTGTCTCGGTCATGTAAAAAAATGGCTACAATTCAACTCCATTTTGCAGATTAGTAAATCAAAACCCCAAAGATACTGGATAATTTCTTAATATGACAAATAGGTAAAAAAACAACAACAAAAAGAAACAAAATGGTAATTTTGATGTGCACTCTTCATTGCATGAAAGATTACTATGCTGGACTACTCGGCCTACCTTGGCTAAAATCAGCCTCTTAATGTTGACGCTGAGGTAGGTGCAAATGTCCTATAAGGTTATGTAAATAGATTATCTGAGGAGACAATCTTTTGCCTTTTCCCCATGGCGGTGTCACGCAAATGGGCAAGTCCCTTAAGGAAAGACTTGTAATGCATCTGCACTCTGTTGCCACCTAGTGGTGAGCAGTGGCAGCAACAAGCTGAGAGTTGTTTCTGCTTTATCCTGCTTTATCCGCCCCTTTTTATCCAAGTTCCCAAGGCGGGATTCATTTTAAAAGCCTATTTTAAAGGCCACAGAGTGACGTGGAATAGATAGTCATCTGTTTTTCTAACCATGTTCTTCCCATCCCACGTTTTACATTCTTGAGAAAGAATCCCTTGTAAGCCACCAGCATTTTTGGTCCGTGTCCATTTCTATTTTGACTATCTGTGCAGGCATTTCCATTTCTCTTAACTTCTTAGCAGTTTTAAGATAAATATACAACGATATACATTTGTGACATTCAGAGAGGCTTCCATCAGCTGAACCTAGAAAGATGGCTTTCAACTGACACATTATAATCATGGTGTTGGACATTTTGAGCAAGAATTATATTACGCTTATATTTCCTTGATGAATCTTAAGAGTAGAATAACAGAAAATCCAATGAAGCATGCTGCTGTTTTCTTGGTATCTTAAATATGTATTTTTTTTTCTGCAGCCCTAAATATGTAAGTTTTTTTCTGTAGCTATTTTTTAATGTTGTCAAAAACAGATACAAAAGAGACAAGTTTTAAACACATGCTAATTTCCAAAGCTAGAACCAATCACAAGTTACTGTTCATAAGGAAGCTGGTTTGAAATATCATGGAGTCTGTAACATCAGTAAAATATATACTTTCCTATCTTAGTGAGCTACAGTCTGTTGAAAAGCTGTCTAATTTATCAAAGCTTCTGCAGTTATCTCTGGAGGATTAGCTATATTTAGTATCAAATAATTCTTAAATTAGGATTGACTGTTACTTTAAACACGAATGCAGAAAAATCTCTGAAAGCAATATAAGCAGTGCTAAAGTGTTTTGTCATTTCTTTCATAAAATATTAGTTGTACTTGCCAACTAGAATTAGATGAAATTCTCCTAATAATACCACATTTATGTTTAGAGAGGCTTATTTTTCCTTCTTAAATTATGAAGGTAAAACACAACTTTGCACAAATCTAAAAAATAGAATATTTATGGTTCACACAAACACGTGTAATCTGACATACAAATACATAATGTAAAAATCACACACACACACACACACACACACAAAATCCAAAGGGGAACGAAAGCATAGCATCTCA